GATGCACATTTAACTTACCTGCAACTGACAAACACAAAAATGTCCCTTGATAACACCAATTAAGGGTCATAAAATTACCCACCAATATCTTGTGGTTACCTGCAACTGTCAATGTTTACATACAAAATCTATTGTGACGTCATCGCGTCCTGCTCGGCCATCTTCGCAGGAGGGCGAGTTGGACGAGCTAGACTACTTGTCCAGGACGAGATAGTGGGAGTTCCGAACGGTCAAAACATCTCGTCCAACTGGTCTGGACGAGATAGACGAGCAGTTCCGAACGCACCAGAAGTACTTGCATAGACCGTGTCAACGCTGAATGTCCCGTGAATGCTTGTGCGCGACCGTGCATCCGTCCGGACGTCTTCACGCGAGACCACATTATCATTAACGAACTAAAACGTCTCCCTTCCTTCCTGCAGACGACCATGAAGTATTCCCTGGCGCTGTTTCTGGTGGCGGCCCTGTGCCTCCTCCCCGGCCTCTGCCTCGAGGTCTGGAAAACGACAAACGACTACATCAGCTTCGCGGTAAGTGCTGCCGATGGGGACTCTGAAGACTAACGGCCGGTTTGTTAAAATTGTGCCAGGCCCGACCCAAAGAATATTCGTATACTTGACATGCATAGATACAGAAATAAATGCATATTTATCAATCTAGACATGCATATCATCCGGGCAAGTTTATAGTTAAATGTATGTCTATCAGATATATAGACAGGTATGCCTTTATTTTGCGTCTGTATTTATGAAAATTCATTGGGTCGGGCCTGGCACAATTTTAACCGGCCGTAAACCACAATAACGTACGTATTTCATCTCAAAGGAATCTCTCTGTATAATGGATATGACTGTGCTTGGTGAACATATTCATATACACGAGCAAACACCCCAAACGCAAACTCGTACAAACGCGAAAGGTCATACCATATGATTCAAACAGTGATCCAGATATGCATATAGATATCTGATACCGAGTCGACGTTATTTTATAGTTTATGGCCATTCAGTTTGCAAGATTATCAACACTAGCATTATATTATTGTTGCTCTTCACAGTCAAGAGCTTTTTATGCTTTACTGCAGAAGGCGGAGTTTACACAAAATAATAACAGTAGCAATATTAGTGATAATGTTAATGATATTAGTAATATTAGTTATAAGGATGATGGTAAAAATAGATATATTGTAAATTATGACAATGATAAGGACGATATTAATGATGATAACGATATTATTATTTTTTTATTATTATTATCATCGTTATTAACATTATTATCATTGTTATTACCACTTATTGTTCTTAATATAACACATTGTTATCAGTTTAATATCATTATCATTTTATTATAATTATTTCAACAGCAACGTTGTTGTAAGTTTTACAATTACATTATTTAGCATATTCATTTCTCTTGGCGTCTAACTGTAGTTTAGTGTTCTTTTTAAATTTGTTTATGTTTCTTACCCTTCAGTTTACAAATATTCAATAATACGCTTTCATATTTAGCAGAATTTAATCACCTCATTATGTATTTATAAATTGCCCTTACTTCTATCATTCAAAAGAACACAGACTGTTCCCTGCTTACAATAGACTCACAAATATCTAACAAACTCTGAAATGCCTGAACGTTTTTGTGTGTGAGGTGTTTGGCGAGCGAAGCAATCAGAATGTTCAACTTCATCTGTACTCGAGGAGACTACTGTGATGAAATTGATACGTGTTCAGATATTAAGTAAAAGAGAGATGGTGAAAGATGGAAGGATCTCTCTCTCTCTCTCTCTCTCTATTCTCTCTCTATATATCTCTCTTATTTTCTTATTCTCTCTCTTATTTTCTCTCTGTCTCTCTCTGTCTCTGTCTGTCTCTCTCTCTCTCTCTCTCTTCTCTCTCTCTCTCTCTCTCTCTCTCTCTCTCTCTCTCTCTCTCTCTCTTATTTACTTTCTAATTTATATATTTACATATTTATTTGCATATTTACATGTTACCACCGTCGCGGAGGTTATGTTTTTGGTAGTGTCGGTTAGTTATGACCAGGTCTTCTTTTACCAGAGGTGTGTCCAGATCATGATCCAGATCTAGGATTTTTTTTTAAACTCCATCAGTTACCCATATTGCCGTGACGATAAGGGTAACTATTATTATTATCATTACCTTTACCGCTAACGAGGTTATTGTTTACGAAGGTCACCTATGTACCTGAGAAAGAGGTGTTTGTCTAGCACATTTATTTTCTTGTCATTATTACTTACTTACTTAAAGAGGTGATTTTAATGTGATTCTTCAAGTGTGAATAATTTTATTCCATCAGTGACCCTATTGGTTTGGCGGAGGTATGCGCTCTCTGAGTGCTTGTAGTTTATTAATGTTTCTGTTCATTTATTCTATTTATATTTTATTCAGGTGATGAAAAGTTGTCTGGGCGAAGAATTAACCGTCCAGATGGAGAGGAAGGGGATTCTCCTTGGCCAGGAATGTCTTCAGAAATTGGTTAGCATTTTCTTGTTTGTTACTGATGAAGGGAAAGATATTGGATATAGTGATAAATGAGGAGCTAATGAGAATGTTAAAGATGGAGGCAAAAAAAATAGTAAAGAAGGAGGAGGTAGTGGTAGTGGAAGGAAAGTTGCAAATTGATAAATGATGATAGGATTAGTAAAAGTATACATGCCTTTCACAGGAACCTCAGCCCGCGAGCCTAAACGCCCGTAGCAGGAGGGTGAGTAACCACGTAGTTGGCTGTGGTTTATGTTGTTATACGGCCGGTTTATTAAATTTGCGCATTCTACAATTGCTCTGAATCGTAACGGCAAATTAGTTTATTTTTAGGTCTTACTATTAGTGATTATCAGTAGTATGCAGATTATATCTTATTTTCAGAATATATTGAAGATGCCTCCCAACCCCTCAGTCGGTCTCCAAATGTGCAATATGAAAGCGTGGGATATGGTGAGTCCGAGATTTCCCCTCATATTTCATAAAAAAAAAAAAATATGAACATGTTATAAATAGTTTATCTGTTTTTAAACCTTAGAATTTGTTTTCCCAGTATGTATTTCAAATAGTATGGAACTTTAACCGCAAACTACGTTATTGTCTGGCGTAGCTAAGATGTCAGTGTTTGTTCCTTTGTAACTATCCGTCTCATATTTAAGCTCGTAACATCTCACTAATATTTGATACACCCGTATCCATCCATCTTAATTTACCATCCTTAAGCATGTATCTAATATGTTTTAAACCTTTTATAGATATTAGATACATAGTATTTTCACCGTGTTTTTTTTTTTTCTCTCGATCATTCGTGTTTTATTCACCTAACTCTCCCGCAGCTCAGCGAAGACGGCACAATACTTTTCGAAAACGTGGATTCATTCTTTCGAAATGTCTCCCATGACAAGACACTCCAAGATGATTTTCTACAGCTTTCCCTTTCTTGCAAGACGTCTTCCCCGCCTACAACAGGACTACAAGAAGATCAGAAACACACGGTTGTAGTCAGTTATCTGAGCTGTTTGAACAAGGGCGGTTTAAAGGCCTGTATGGACTACGAACATAGGAAATATTTTAATGATTTGTAAAGCGATGGGGAGAAATCAGAACAATAATGCTAATGATTATGAAGTAATGATGAGGATGAATATGATTCTTTGCGGTTATAATGAGGAAAATGGTGGTAGTGGAAATGTGGATAATAGTGATGGAACACACATCTGCTCTATTATAAAACATTTTACGCTTTTTATGTACAGACAAGGAATGATATAAGTGACATGGATATTTTAATATGATACATCCTGAAAATATGAATATTTTCTATTTTCATTTTTTATGCAGTTCATTTGTAAGAGTATATAAAGTATAACTTTGTAATAAAATAGTACTACTAAAGAAATAATAATTGTAAAGTAGAGCAGCTGCTTCCCCTAGACATACTTATATGATTAAATAGTTTAGATATGACTAGAAGAATAATGATCATGATGAAAGTATTAGTAATCATAATAATGATGATTATGATAATAAAAAATAATGATAATATCAGCAACAACAACAATAGTGAAAATGATAAAGTAAATGTAATTAATAATGATAAAGATATGGTAATGACAAGAATAACACAAAGAATAAAAAATAACCATCATCACCTCCATAAGCCATTAATATTTGTAGCAGCATCACCAATTACAAAAAAAAAAAAAAAAAAAAAAAACAATATTAATAATAAAATAGATTTAAAAAGTACATTAGCCTTTCTTCTTCCTCCCTCTACTAAGTCCGCTGTTTTGAAATAAGTACAAATAAATCCAGAAATTATATTGAACGAGTGAAATATCCAGTTTCTGCATAATTTACCTGAGAATTTGAGTATGAATTGCTAATAATGATTCTGCTGATTCCTCTTTCGTCGAAGAGAAAGAAAAGGGAAATAAATAAATAATAAATAAATAAAAGGAAAGAAATATATTGGAATAGGGAAAGATCTAAGAACAAGGAGACAAAGACAGTCACAAAGGAGGGAAGAAAATAGAATGGAAGGATAAATGATTGCCTATAAAAAGTTTGATCAAAGAAATATAGTGAGAGTGACTGCCGTAATGACCTTAGCGTAAATAGACATAATGGTAATATTCATTACTGTAATGATAAGGAATTATAATGATAATGATAATAATGATTAAGGTTACAACAATAGTAATAGCAAAATAATTAGAATAATAAAATGGTAATAATCATTATCATTATAATTACTATTATTATCAATAGTATCAGTGTTGCTGTTATTATTATTTATGTTATCATTATCATTATCATCCTTATTGGTATTATTACTATTATCATTATTATTATCATTATCATCATAATCATTATTATAATCATCATCATCAATATTGATGTCGGTGCTGTTATTTTTATCATTGTCATTAGCATTATCATTATTATTATCATTATTATCATTATTTCTATTATAATCACCTTCATTACTATTATCATTACTATTAATATTATTGTTGTCGTTATCATGACTGTTATCATTATTATTATTGTATTTATTATCATCATTATCATTACTGTCATCATCATCAATATTGTCACTTTCACTATTATCATCATAATCATTATTGTATTGTAAATATGTTGAATAAAGTAAATTATTGATGCTTTTTAAATGTTTCTGATGTATAAAATTCAAATCGTTAGGAATTATGAAAATTCGCGTTATAAATAGAATATTTCTTATATATATATTCATTTATTTATTTAATCTATTTATGTATTTTATCTATTTTTGAGTTAATTGGTTACAAAAATCGTATTTGTGTAACAGCTTCAATAGTAGTATTTGACATTCGAAAACATGCGCATCTCGAAGTTCCTTTGTAAACAGAAGTGCATTGTGGGAGTGATGTCGCCGCCAAGAAGAATTGTTTATAGTCTTCTCTTCCTAATCGTTCCAACGCCTCATGCAGTGTAGTGTGTCAACCGTTGAATTGATATTTGAATGAAAATGTGAGTACTGTTCCAATAATTGATAGTTATCCCAAAGAGGGTTTATTGTTTATAATGTGTCCAATCTCGACGGACGTTGGTGACTCCCGTATGTCAACAAATTTGATTGTTACTTGCAAAAGCCAAAATTATATGATTATGTTGATTTGCAGTCCCTGATGGATAAACTGCAATGCGATTCCCAGTTTGACGATCCACATGCCACGTGTACTAGAGGGCAGGTGTAAAAATAACTGCCAGTTATTGAGGAGATGCAATGATGTATATTTTTGTAATGTTTCGAGATCATTGTAATTCTGGTAATTTTCTATATTACCTCCGCCGCTCCGATATCGACGATTTTGGTATCGTTGGATTCCTCTCACTCTATACAATGCAAATATGTAGGTTTTATTGCGCGGAAACCCCCCGTTAGCGGCAAACTTTTGGCCCCGATAGCAGGGGCGACGATGTGGAGCGGCGGACGTAATATAGAAAATTACCCTAATAATATAACCCGCAGTGAAAATAACCATGGTTATTCACATGACTTTCCATTTCCCCCCGGAGGGGAGAGGGGCTACCGCCCTCCAACCCCCGCCGAGGAAACAAAATACTAACCTTCCCACTGAATCAGCATACTAACCTTAACATGTCAGCATTGTATACAGAGACGATTGTAGTATAATCAGGATGAACAAGGTATACTATAAACAGAAGAGCGGCGGTGGCCCGCCCTCGTCGGCTGGCGGGTTTTGCGCCTTTCTCGATGGATCTTGTTCGTGTGCGCTCTATCCTGCCGTGAATACGTGGGGGATATTTTGTTTCCTTGGCGGGGGTTGGGGGGCGGAAAGTCATGTGAATAACCATGGTAATTTTCACTGCGGGTTATATTATTAGGGTAATTTTTTATATTAGTCCGCCGCTCCGGCATCGTCGCCCCTGCTATCGGGGCCAAGTTTGTCGCTAACGGGGCGTTTCCCGCAATAAAACCTACATATTTGCATTGTATAGAGTGAGAGGAATCCAACGATACCAAAATCGTCGATATCGGAGCGGCGGAGGTAATATAGAAAATTACCGATAATATTTAATACTTTGGATAATATTGATATTATTGTGATTTAAGTTCATGATTAGAAAATTCATTTAATTTTGGACATGGTTTTGTCCATTCTGTAGTGATGTTGAAGAAGTATAATAATTTCCAGGTCCAAACTACTTGTAGAACAAACTATTGCAGAAGACGTTGCATTAACTGTGCAGAACAATTATTACCTCCACCAAGGAGTTTATGTCTTTGGTCGCGTTGTTTAATGTTTGTTCTTTGGTTAGCAGGATAACAATAGAATTAGGAATAGATTTTTTTTGAGAATTTTTTACCAGAGGTGTGCCTTAGCCTTACTTAGATACCATTATATTTTGGTGACGATCCTATTATCTTAGTTTGTTAGCAGGATAACTCGGAACAGATTTTTATGAAACTTTCGTGGTGATCGGATCAATGATTTTTTAATAATGGCAATGTTACCTCTCTTGCCTTGCCTCCGCCATGGAGGTTATGTTTACGGACGTCACCTTTGGACTAAAGAAAGATTTTGATATAATACTTTGTATGAATATTTTTATTGCATCAATGACCTTATTGCCTTGGCGGAGGTATGCGCTCCCTGAGTTATTCTATTTATTGCTATTATTATCATAATCATTATTATATTCAAGTTTAAGGACTTTAAGTTATAAAGAGATGTTGACAACAATAATTAGAATTTACTTTTTTTTTTTTTTTTTGAAGATGACCCCGCATCAGTAATTATTTTTTTCATGTACTGTCAAATGGTAATTAATTCGTTTTCTCCATGTTCATTCACTTTTGTTCGATGACAACACACGTAGAGGGTGCCGCGTGTATACGAGTATATTAAGATATTAAATGTGTAATATTGTAGTCATTACATGATGAAGATTCATTGCATAGCTGTTCGATTTCAGTCACTTTGGATTATCATTATAGGTTTAAATGTCAGATCTAGTTGTGTTAACCTTGGAATGTGGCGCAGTGCGATTCAGACGAAATCGCTAATGACAGTTTGTAGTCATGAACAAATTCCGGGACAATATTAAATGCAAAGACTGTTTTTGGGGAAGTCCTTGATATTTTTTATTGAAAATTCTATGACTTTTAGGGAATACCGCAGCAGATATCGTTCAATAAAAAATAAAAAATATTCATTCTCGAATAACCCCATTCTTCTTCTTTCTCTTACACCCTCTCCTCCCTCCCCTTCGTCGTCGTTGCCGTCTTCTCTTTCTTCTTTAAGATTACTCATTAGTTGAAAAGATAGACATTTTCTGGTTTCAAACTGAGACAAGTAATAACAATGAGTCAAAGTGCTTTTTAGTTGAAAAAATAAGACATTTTTTGTTCTTAAACTGAGAACAACGTGAGCAAATCCAAATCTATATCAATATAAACAGTGGATTCTTGATGATGAATGAACTTTTTATTTCTTTAATCAGCGGATGGAATGAAACGCAAATTATGGTGTGAGATTGTGAGATTTGAGCACATAGCTGTACTTACAGGTAATGAAGGAAAACTCGGCAAGTTTGATTATTTAAGAAAGTGTATATATATATATATATATATATATATATATATATATATATATATATATTACAGGTAATGAAGGAAAACTCGGCAAGTTATTTAAGAAAAGTATATATATATATCTTGCTTTCCTTTGGCATTGCTGTTGACGTGTCGTACCAAGTTACTGGTGAAAATTCTAAGGTTCTTTTTCTCCAAAGTCCCTCGTTTTTCTTTTCTTTTCTTCCCGTCGTTCAGTAAAACAAGTCACGTGTCGCTGGCCTCCGAGAACCCTCCCCGGCGAGCTCCGTGGAAAGCCCTGGCGCAGCCCTANGGGGGCGCACGAATGGAAGTCAAAGCCTAGCCACAACTGCCGGGTCATGAAGTGCTTTGAATGAGGTTTTGAGGCCTCCAACAGGAAATTCTGAAAGTGAAGATCATTGGATATTCGCTTTGGCAAATTTTTCGTTCAAAAGCTTCGGCTAAAAAAAATGTTCCCAAATTGAGCGGATCCGCGCCTGATCCGCAAAATAATATAAAAGCCAGTAACTAAATTAATAAAGGAATTAAATCAACCGAAATATCCTGGATTAACAATCAGCATCGAGAGACGGTCGTATACAACATGTAATGCTAATCAGTTCTGGACTCAATATCTTTATGCTAGATTCTCCATAATTGTAGGAAGTCTTAACGTACCTTAGGACTGTCACTTTCAAAAATACAATGTTCTTTATCCTCTTGCCTTATTTTGGTATACCAGTTGATTTTTTTTTGGCATTATTCCTGAGAAGAAGAGGATTTTGCGGGAGTGGAGTGGGTTCCACAATTTTTTTTAAACATACGACCATAAGAACCAAAACAGAGTGATGCAAAAGCTTCCTTTGATACAATTCCTTAAAGCATACGACTATAAGAACCAAAACAGAGTGATACAAAAGCTTCCTTTGATACAATTCCTTAAAAACATACGACCGTAAGAACCAAAACAGAGTGATATAAAAGCTTCCTTTGGTACAATTTCTTAAAACATACGACTTTAAGAACCAAAACAGAGTGATACAAAAGCTTCCTTTCATAAAATTCCTTAAAGTATACGACCGTAAGAACCAAAACAGTGATACAAAAGCTCCTTTGAT